ATATATTGGGTAAGTCTGCCGCAATCTGCTCTAAGTTGTTCAATGTCTTTTTCTAGTCTTATTTGCCATGGAGGTTTACTATTCTTTCTTAGTACATTTCTAGGGTGATCTGTTATTTTATAATTTAGTTCTTCACTTATAACTAACGCTGTGCAGTATATTAAAGTATGAATATCTGTTAATTGTGTATCTTCGGATAAAAATTGGTGTAGTATGTTATGATTAAAAACGTGTGTTAATTCACTAAGTTTCCTACTGTATTTTAATTTAGGCAATTTTGGTCGAGTGATGGGATCCATTCTAGAATATAACGCTAATGCTGTTCTAAATTTTTCTTGTATTTTTTGTATATTATCTGATGAGGGGTTAAAATTTTGCATAATCTCCATATCATTCTCAAGGGTTAAAGTTACAGTCTCAGGTTCTGTGGATATCTGTGAAGATTGTGTGATTGTGTGTGGTTGTGACTGTGTATGTAATGCTGTTGTTACTGATTGAGTATTGTGAAGTTGAGGATTTGAATTATTTTCTATATACTCGTAGTTGTTTTCATTTTCCTGTAGTTGCATTCGTATTTCTTCTTTTAATCTGTGTAGTGTTTCCTCGGTTAGTAATTTATTTCTAACAATTGTTCTTCTTTGATCGGCAATTCGTTGTTCAGTAACGTTGATATCGGGATAGTGTCGTGTAAAAAGTTCGTGTAATTGTTTCCTATATGTTGTCATGTCTGTCTCTAATTTAGTGATTTGGTAGTACGTACGCATGATGAATAGGTTCACTTCTTTACTCCACCTCATGCGTACTCTAGGTTTTCCACTCTTAGTGGACGCAGGTAAAAAGGCACTCACCTCCTGCGTAACAGCTAAGGTTGGATTCGGTGTTTCGTGTGAATCTTCATCCACGAAAGACACCGGTGTAGGTCTGTACGCGCTAGTTGAGGGACTATATGGTTCAGTTACTGATAGCGATGTCAAAGAATTTAAGCTAATATTGTCATTGTCAGTCTGTCTGTCAGTTTGGTTATTAATATTATTATTTCTAATTGAGTCCCGGCGACCCCCGGGTAGCGGCCTTAAATTATACTTATTGGTTTTATTTTGCATTTTTATCATTTCGTTCCCACGAGTAGCTGGGGACATACGGTCCACCGCGGCATAGCCCCGCGTTCACCACGGCAAGGGTACTTTAAACTGAAGGTCCCCCTTTCTTCAGAGTTCGAATATTATCGACTAAGCTCCCCCTTAGCCACGCAGCCCTTGGCATATTCTGTTCCACCTTGGTTTGGGTTTTCCCTCCTTAAATTCCTACCTCCCTGTTTAACTACCTATCTATTGTCTACCAGCCTACCTATCCATTTACTTATCCACCTATCTACCCATTTAATTTACCGTCTACTTTGTCGCTCTACTGCCTGCCTACTCTAATCCCTACCTACCAGTGCCACGTTAGCCACGCCAGTAATTTCTCTTTCGTGTGTCCGCCCCCCACGTGATCAGATGGTCGATCAGGACGTGTGGTTGGATTTTTAGGGGGCTTATTATTATTATTATTATTATTATTATCATCATCATATCATATCTGGTTATTCCTTATCTCTTATACAATTTGACACAAGTATTCATGGGTATTATTATATGCTTTTGCACGAGCGGGCCGGCTCGACCGGAGTGATAACACGCCGTAATAGAAAACCGGTGTTAATCAATTCTTTCCTTGGTTTTCACAGAGATTGAGGTTCCCGGGCCCAAGCCCCCCGATTTCTAGTAGAAGGGACTCAAAGGCCACTTGAGTTGCACGTTTCCATGGGCGGCAGTAGTTACTTAAAATCAGCTGACCCGTATGCTCGTCTGCCCCCTTTATTCTATAAAATTAAAAAAAAAACACTGTAGTAACAAACTATCGTCAGATACCGTGCCCCCTATTAGTCGCTCTAGACGTATCAACATGCACATCACAGCCGAACACGAGAACAAAGGAAGATTCTCACATTTGCGTGGTATGTGAGAGTTAGAAACAATAAGATATTGCGCCAAGCCGTTCATTGTTACATCTATTACGACACAGCACTTAGTTTATGCAACCTCCATCGCCATCTTATGACCTGGTACTTGGTCAATGAGAACATTTGTCTCGAATTAACATGATTTTTTATTGTTTATTGTATGAAAACAAAATAAAAAAAACTCGTTGGATACGTAACTATTTTTTATACTATGTTTAATACATAGTAGTAGGTGGTAAAACAATCAGAAATCTAGTTCAGTGGTAGCGTTTAATAGCGCTCTTAACTCATTAGTTCAATTTCGTCTGCTTCTCCCAAAAAGAGATCAAGCATCATTTTTCATTGATGCTTACCTCCTATTAGTCGTAGCGTGATGTTATATAGCTTATAACTTTCCTCAATAAATTAGCAATTCAACACAATTCTCTAGACAGCCTCAAAACCTTTTCAATTATTTGAAAAAGAAAACTATAATCCTAAATATAATCTGCCTAAACTATATCCATTAAGAGAAATTCATTAAATTCCACAATTTTGTTAATGTGTCGAATTCCTTTTTTAAATGTTGAGAACACCCTATTCTCGTCTATTGTTTAAAAACAAAATCTCGGCAAAGGTGTCACGTAATAGTTCATAGATAAATAATATCAGATGAACTAAAAACTTTTTTTTTTAATCAACTGAAGATAATTCTTGATGAACTCTTTACCTTTGACGCAACACGATTGTGGAATGCAGTCTACATAAGGAAAACATACCATACAAGCATCTAAAGTCATGCTACAAAGTCACTACCTAGGCATAGTTCCTTCTGTATGTATAATATTTTATTATTATATGACTGGCATTTGGGTGTAGTGGTTAGTGCTAGGTAGGTGCTACAGCTAGAGGTCGTGGATTTGATCCCATCTAGGACAAAAAATGTATGAAAACCGATGTTTAGAGATTCTTTCGTTTGATTTTTACCAAGTGAGTAATGTGACAGGAGCCAATGAGATTGCTGTGTTGAGGCCTCGGGTTTGATTCCCGGGTCGGTACAAATGTTTGTATGATCTGGAAATATTTGTTTCAGAGTTTGGGTGTTTTCTATGCACATCATGTATGTAATTACAAAAAAAAAGGATATAAGTATTCTACCAGTCAATCTAACGTTCACGGCACAAGCTCTGCTTAGTTTGAAACTAGATGGCGTTGTGTGTCAGATGTCCGAGAATATTATTATGTAATTAGTGTTGTGCTATCTGCTAAATATCGATACGTATTATCTCTCCACATGCTTAGTCATCAGTCTTTCCTGTCATTAGGTCCTTCCAAAGATTGTGTATCAAAGATCTCTTTAGCGATAAGACCTCCGTAGAGAGACTCCGTACTCCGTACTCCGTAAGAGTATTTAACTTTAGTAATTGTGAATGTACAATATATAAGAATGCGGAGTGCCACCACCCCTATTCATACCGTGGGTGACGTAAGAGCCAACTACGCAGGACAACAGCACTGTAAAGAGAAGGAAAACTTGACACAAACCCTATACCAACCCGTTGGGTCAGATTGGTATAGTAGGGCAAAACCTCCTTTCTATAGAGAGGCGTATGTCCAGCAGTGGACTATTAAATGCTGTTGATGATGATGATGAATAAATAAAATTTAAACTTTTATTTTAACCGTGGGACAGCAATACTTTCACACATTTGGGCCGGCTCGACCACAGTTGAACGTTAGAAACTGGAGGTCGTGGTTTTGATCCACAGATTACAAATAGGACAAAAAAAATGTGTGAAAACCGGTGTTAAGCAACTATTTTTGCTTTTCACCGAGTGACTCATTGCTTGGTTACCGGGGTTAACCCCCCCCCCTCCCTCCCTCTACCGATTTCTGATTAAAGGGCGCCAACGCACTTGTAACTATTGAGTTGCGGGTGTCCATCACGGCGTTCGTGACTTACAATCAGATGACCCGTATGCTTGTTTTCCTCCCTACTATAAATAAATCAATCCTCATCATCATCAACAGCCTTTAATAGTCCACTACTGGACATAGACATCTCCTTAGAAAGGAGGGTTTAGTCTACTGTGCCACGCTGGCCAGACGGGTTCATATAACCGGGTTCGTTGGTTTATGTCAAGTTTTCCTTCTCTTTGCAGTGGTGTTGTTCTGCAGAGTTTTCTGTATATCTATTACACTGAATAATTATTTTTTGTGTCCGTTTAATGTCTATTTGTAAAGTCCCCCACGACACAGGATATATTCCTAATGCTGGAGTTGTCTTTTTATATAAAACTAGCTGACCCGGCAAACGTTGTATTGCAAAACAAAAAAAAATTAAGGATGGGTCACCCTTACCATTTAGGAGTATGAAAAATAGATGTTGGCCGATTCTCAGACCTACCCGATGTGGACACAAAATTTCATGAGAATCGGTCAAGCCGTTTCGGAGGAGTACGGGAACGAACATTGTGACACGAGAATTTTATCTATAAGATATAAAAAAGAATAAAGCAAACCCTTTTGCAGACATTAAGCCAATTAACAAATAACCATTTTGTTACCAAACCAGTTTTATTGTTTACTTAAGTAACACTAATGATTTCTAGGTAAACACAATTTAAATATTCTTGTAATATTCAGTGTTATCTCTTTTGTATGAGCATATTGCCAATGGTGACTAATGTTCCTCATAATTTTATTTTAGTAACATTAGTTGACCAGTGGACTTTTACAGGGATAAACGTGTTTTGTTATGTGATTTTATTTCTTAATATTTATAAGGTACAAATAAATAACCTAAAAATAAACGGAATATGCGAAGTGCTAAATAAATAAAAAAGTTGTATGTAAAAAAAAACGAAAAAAAGAACACGAATTTTTGTGTGCCAGTGTGAAAAGTTTTTTTTTTAATTGACTAAGGTAAACTGTAGTGTAGTGCCAATAATGCCAAAAAGACTATAAAGTGTTGATCTCATAAACTAGTGTTGATCTCATAAACTAGTGTTGTACCGGCATGAGTCAAGGATGGAAAAGAAGTTTTCGATGGATAAGAGAAGGAAAAATAGCACGTTTATGGGTATGTTTCATTTGTTCTGCTCTAATAAATATAAACAGCTGAGTAATTTACCTATATTACTCGGCTTAATCATCTATTCTGACAATATGTATTCTCGTAACTATTTTCCTTTATGAGTAATTTGAATGTCTATTATGTTACGACTGTGTGTACTGATTGCCAGCATATTTAATTAATCAAATTATAGGTTAATAATCATTAGTACGTCTTAACTAATGATTTATACTCAAGAAATAATTAGTTTACATAGAAATTTATGTGAAATTCGTTCCCAGAATGTGTTAGGAGATAATTTTAGTTATTTTATTAATTTCAAAGCTTAAGAAATGTATTATAGCTTAAGAAATATTTATAATTAAAAGACTGTTAAAAATTTCATTACGTATTTTAATGTGTATAGTTATAACTTAAGTTTTATAAAGAGTAGGTACTTCATCATCATCATCATCAACAGCCCTTAACAGTACACTGTTTGACACAGGCCTCTCCTTAGAAAGGTGGTTTTAGCCTACTATACCACACACTATACAATTTTAGCCACACCCCGAAGGTATTGTCGCATATAAAAACATCCTATAGATTGTGTTGTGTGTATAGTAATTATACATAATATTTTTAATATACATTGTTTAATTACAATGTCCTGATAAGAGAAAGGAAGTGGCGCATGCGACGCTGTTCTCGATAAAATTACTACATAATCATTTAATTGTAACTTTATAGGGTAGTTATGATGATCCACATAACTTGAACTAATCAAATATGGAGATAATATAATTAAGAAAACTTAAGCTTAAGAAATTCATTCATCATTCATTCCTCATATAGGCCTATGCCACTCGGCTAAGTGTAATGCGACATGCGATAGGTGGACCTTTACGGGTTGAATAATCTGTGGTTTTTTTTTTTTTTAATTAAACTACGAGTATTTAACTTATTCAGTTTTCAAAAATTGAAGACGTGAATGGTATTATTGCATTATTTATTTACACAGCATCTTTCGTTTCTTAGTTATAGGTAAGTTCTTGTCTGACATATTCCTGAAATAACAAGCAGCAATACTAAGTCACCAAAATATGTGAGTTGTAGAGAAGGTGCCTACCGTACGAAATTATTCTTTCGATTTCGTCTCGTCTTACTCGAAATAAAAACGTAAAATATATTAATATTATTTAAGCTGTATCATTTAAATGCAAGTATGCATTTAAATGATACAGCTTCCTGAAAAATTTGTTTCAAAATACTGAAAACAAGTGGAAACGGAGAATGATTTTTTTTGCCAAACTTACACAAACACACTTCATTTAAGGTTTTTTACAAATGTATTAAAAATACTCGATACCTTCAGTTATCGATACTTTTGATACGATACTGGTATAGAGTAAAGTATCTATACTTTTGAAATTTTGCCTATCCCTACACAAAGGTTGACTGGTAGGGAATGCCCTAGGCATTAAGTCCGCCGATATACATAAGTGCATAGAGTTGTAAATAAATAAATGAATAAAAATATGTAAATGTATAAGAAAACAAAAATAACATTAAAATTTTGCCTTGCTGCCTGGCTATAACTGTAACATTTGTAAAAGAAAAATAATGTAGAATGTCAAATTTATAATGTTTTCATTTTTGTCGCTAGGCGGAGCTAGTGGCAGCAGTGAGACGGCGAGGTCGTGGCGATGGTAGCGATGACGATGAAGATCTGGGTCTACCGCAAAGCCCGCCGGCGTCACCACCCACTGATAAGGTTGATAAGGTAAGAATTTTTTTCATCCCTAACTTTGCCAGTGTGTTGATGTTGCTGTAGAATGTGGTAGTATTCATGACAGCAAAATAGTAAGTAAAACGTAATAGCGCCATCTGTGGATAAAGATTGTAATTAAGTAGAGTTTTAATACATTGCACCCAATCTCTAATTTATTTTAACGTTGACATAATCACCAGTTCAAATGAAACAGTTTTAGATTAATTCATTCATGACGAGAATCTAAAATCTATTTTTTAAACTCTATAGACTTAACTGGTAGCGCTACCTAGATATTTTTATATGCATCTTTTAACTCTTTGGTTAGCAGTTGCAAAAAATGGATAGATGTCGCTACAGTACATGTAGCACAGTGTACATCTAGTATTTCTTTTTTAACAAAATATTGTTTTTTAAGATCTGTGTTGTTTTTTACTTTAACTTACTATTTCAAATTCATTTATAAAATAAAGTCGCTTCCCGATCCTGTACGCTTAGATCTTTCAACGCAACGGATTCATATGCGATTTTTACCAATAGAAAGAGAGTGATTAAAATGGAATGTTTATATGTATAATAAATGCATATTATAGTAGCGAAAATCCGAAAAATATAAAGATATAATTTTAAAACTAAAACAATACACACTAGATTTGTCACTTGAGTTCTTTGTAATAATAAACTTTGTAAAGTTTACAGTTTTCATGTAATACACTAATAAACAAAAGATTTATTGGCTCTCGATCCATTTTTGAAATGCCACCTGTATTTTATAGACTAGATTTTATTTATTAATGAAATACTATCCGTATTTTATTAATAAATAAAATCTAGTCTAAGTACTCATTCGTTATCTTAATTAATATTCTTTGTTCTTGCTTCTTCCCATTACGTGGGGTCGGCTTTCCTCATCTTGAGCGCCAGCTCACGACATGCCCAGCAGCTTCTTCATGTCCCTCTGGGCCTCAATTCTGCTATTTTAATATTGTATCAATAGACTGCCGATGGCATGTCGTCGGAATAGTTTCGCATTTTTCTTATTCTACTAACTATGTTAGACCAATGGCCTCCCGATGACTTTTCACTGATGTCTTTGTAATAGTTTGGTAAACATCACATTATAAATTTGTAAGAAAATGAAATATTTAATTTTCATGATATGTTGTTATATGGCAATGTTGTTAATATTATTTTCATTGATGACCTATATTACTATATCGACTGACATCTATTGACACTGAGAATTTAAGTAGAATACCGATATTTCGACAGATGTCAGTGGCATCTCAATAGCGTGTCAATGGAGTGACAGTGGCTTGGTGTTAACATAAAGTAGCAGAATTGAGGCCCTGGACATTCTTATCGAAGTAGTTTATGACCTGCTTCTTCCTCTCTTTGCTGCAGCCCTGGCACTTCTTCACTACGTGATTGTTGAGTCTTCTCATAACATGTCCAAAACACATTCGTTATTTTATTTTATCAACTTAAAAAGGGGTATTCTATTCGGTTACATTTGTTTTATGTTTCTTACCTTAGAACTCCAATCATCTATGGTTCTCCGTGTGGTAACGTATTAAGAATACGGAGTGTCACCACCCCTATTTATCCCGTGGGTGTCGTAAGAGCCGGCTAAGAAAACTTGACATTAACCCTCTACCAACCGTTTGACCAGTGTGGTATAGTAGGCCGAAACGCCCTTTCTAAGCAGAGGCCTATGTGCGGCAGATGACTATTAAAGGCTGTTGATGTGATCAATAATGTGTTCATGGGAAAATTGGATTTAGAAAATTTAAAATTAATGAATTATGAATACAGTTTATTATTCGTCTTGATGTAGGCGCATAAAGGCCGGTTATACTTTGTTTAAAGTTAGCTATTCTTTTAATAATCCGCGTAGGTGGATGCCCACAGCGCCAACAATTGCTTGCTAAGCTATAATAGGATTTAGACATATGAGATTAACAGAATTTGCTTCCCAAACTAGGTCATTGTCTACTGTCATTAGTAAATTGTTTGTTCGTTGGTTTACGGAAACCGTATAAGGTGTTTTATGTGTATCGAACTTAAACATATATAGGTAGGAATAATTATATGCGTTACTATTATATTTTATTATTATTTTTTAACAAAAAAGTTCGTTTGTATCTCTCGAAAGGAATAAGTTTTCCCCGTTTGCGCAACAGTTTCTCCTCCTCCTATTGGTTGTATCGTGATTTTGTATAGCCTATAACCTTCCTCGATAAATAAAATATCTAACATTAAAAGGAGTTTTCAATTCGAACTGGTAGTTTCTGCGATTAGTGCGTTCAGCCAATTAAACAAACTCCTGAATAAGAGTTTATTTCGTACTACAAGGCATACAACTTATTTTATCTCGTCTCTCAACAGCAACTTACTTATGTAAATATTAGTATACATAATTATGTTTTTGCATTGGTTTAGGTGTTTACATGTAGTTATAATATGTATGTATTGAAAGCGGCGGTAGCTTAGTGGTTAAGGCGTTGGACTTGCGATCAAGAAGTCGTGCGTTCAAATCCTGACCATTACACTACCGACGTGAACCCACTCCTAACACAAAAATTTAACTTAGCGGGATCGGTTAACGGGAATAGTATTAATTTCGCATGCTAGTAGACCTATAAAAAAAGACGAAATGTATTAAAAAAAAATGAAGATTGTTATCTTAGTTCTAGAAGCAAATGCACAAGCCGTGATCAGTATAAGTCTAGATACCGACGCGTAATACATCCAAGAACATTGCTATTATTATTGCAGGTAAATAGTTTATCAGAAATGTTTATCAAATGTATAAAAGCCGTCACGGAGAGATATCGTATCATCAGAGTTTTATTAAATACCTAGACTGCAACTTGCCTACCTACCTATTATACCTAGTTAGTAATTTAGTAGTTGGCGACTTACCCAATTCTGAATATTCTGTAGTCTTCTTCTTTAGTTTAGTTAGTTATTCCTATAGACATTAAAGTTTAGCGACTTCCATAAACAACGAAAAAAAATACCATCAAACGAAGACACATCGAAATAGGGAGTCAAAATAATAAACTGATACTTGTGTGAGTTTATTTAATTTAATAACATAAAAATTTAGGTGTCTGAAAAAAATCTTGTTACACATTATTCGGCCTCGCTCCCATCCGCTTAGAGTGCAACAATGTGTAGTCGGTTTCGAGTATGAAGCCTTTTGGCTTGGCTTGGATTGGTATATTCTAGCTGAGATCCTGACAACTTTATTTTATTTTGTCTGATTACCATATAACCAACAAGAGTGATGTATACATGACTGCACGGATGGCGTAGTGGTTTAAACGGTCGTCACGCCGCTTTCAACTACGCCGAGTGTTGTGGGTTAGAACCCCACATGGGACGACACTTTATGTGATCCACAAATTGTTGTTCTGAGTCTGGGTGTTCTTCGTTTCCGTTCCATGTATGTTTGTAAAGTTCCCCGCGACACAGGATATATTCCTAATGCGGGAGTTGTTTTTTAAAAAAACATACACATTCTAAATACTGAGAAAATAGCGTGAAATAAATACAAAAATAAATTAAAGTTCTCGCGGTCGATTGAACATTGCGCAGGCGCAGACGCAGCGGTGAAAGTAATGAGGCGAGGTCGGTACAGCTCATCGTGGAAATAATACATGTCGAGTCCGACCCTCCAAGGAGTTTCTTATCCTCTGGAAGTATACCGGCATACCAATATATTTCCTCAATACCCTACAATGACCTGCATAGAGTATCTGTATGACGGCGCAGTTATAATGCATCTTTGGATCGAATATGAAGTGTCCATTCTGAAACGAGAGCGAACTGATCTAGAAAGGACATTTCAGAACAATCCTGAAGAGGGTCGGACCTGAGGGAGGGAGGGTTGGTTGGACTTGGACCTGATAGATCTGAGTTACATCCTCCCTCCCGCTGACTCGAGCGGTAGGGACTCCAAGGGCAGCAACGCACTTGTGACTGTTGCAGGTGTCCATGGGCAGCGGTAGTTGCTTACCATCAGGTGATCCGTCTGCTCGTTTGCCCCCTTATACCATAAAAAAACATATTATTGATTTCGGAAGATCATATAATGTTCACCGAGTTTGTCATACAGCTTTTGAAAAGATTTATTGTTATCAATGATTTTTATCTTCGACTAAGGTTTGGGTTAAGGTTTGATTTGATTTGAAGGCAACGGATTCTATTATGATGATATTATTATGATATAACACCATTATTATTAATCCATTTCCATGGAACTCTGCTAACCGTAGTTACCGACATACATGCCACACAGATTTACGGTTCTGGAGATGCTGGTCAATTGTTTTGGACTGAGTTACTTGTATTTAAAAGATTAATGGTCAAAGTATACCAGAATGTAGTGCTCGTGCATTTGCGAGCAGACGCTAAGAAGGGTCCGAATATCTTAATAAAAGCTGTTCCTGGATCCTTTTTGTTGTAAGCTCAGTTCAGCACATCGTTTGGTTTTAGATGGTTCTATTCCAATACACCGCCGCTCAGCAAACTGACTGCACGGTTGGCTTAGTGGTTTAAGCGGTTTCCTCGCCGCTTCTTACTGCGCTGAGTGTTGTAAGTTCGAGACTTTATGTGATCCACAAATTGTTGTTCTGAGTCTGGGTGTTCCTTATGTTCATTTCATGTAAGTTTGTAAAGTCGTATGGCACTTTGGTTGGATGATGGGAAGCGTTTGCCTTCCAACTCATCTGCTGGAAGGTAATGATGAAAGCGAAGATGGTACACGCCTGAACCCTCTACTCTTGAACATTCCAGAGTTGTCTGAAAAAATAGACTTAAGCACATTGAATACATTCTATGGTCACTCATCTTAAAATACAATGTCCCGTCAAGCTAGATTTTAGTAGTAAATCGATTTAGTACTAAGGTTATTTAAAGTTGCAGAAACTTGTAACAGCGTAAGTTAGTTAATCTAAGTTCCCAAGTCCTTTGAAGAACTTACTAATGCTGTGATTAGTTCCTCA